GACGGTGAGGGGAAGGGATGCACAGTGGCGCGAGATGGAAAAGAAGCGGTCGCTAGCGAAGACACTTGCGTGAGCCATCACACACACACGCAACACACACACACACATACATGGAAGCATACAGTGCGTACCTGAACAAGGTCTGGTGCTGCGTTCATCGCATGCCACGCCAACAGAATCCTGCTCCTAGCAGTCCTGTGGCCTTGCCGAGTGTCGCAAAGGATCTGTACACGAAATGTAGCTAATGGAGCAACAGCCATCAATGTCCACAACTACAAGTTCCACATCCTCATGACCCCTGAACCTGTGCGTGAGAACACAAGTGACTGTACATGTAAGGATGTGCTGCGTCCGCTCACATTATGAATAGGGTCAAAGGGCTAAAGGGTTATCCAGTCACACACACGCGCGCACGCACACACACACACAACCACACACACAACCACACACACACACACGCAACACACGCACGCACGCACACGCACACGCATACAACACGCACGCACACGCACACGCACACGCACACAAAACGCACGCACACGCATACAACACGCACGCACTCACACACGCACGCGCACACGCACACACACACACACACACACAACCACACACACACACACAGCCACACGCACACACACACACACACACACAACACACGCACACACGCGCACGCACACGCACACGCACACAAAACGCACGCACGCAAGACTCACACACACACACAAGACACACACGCACACACACGCACACACATTCGCAAGCACACAAAAACATTGCCTCACCGAGCAAGGACGACGTCTGCTTGTGGGAGACACTCGATGTCTACCACACCATCGTGATGCGCAAGTATGGTGCACAGCTCGTGCAGACCCATGGGATACACGACAATGCGCACGTCAAGTCCCTGCTGTCGGAGTTGTGGCCCACCACGTCAGCGCTGCTGTCCTTGGGTCTGCTCGTGGGGTTGTTGCTCTGCTGCGTCTGTTGTGACTGCTCACACCGCCGAGAGGCTTCTGCTGCCGTGCTTGCTGTAGGCACCTCAACCCCCTTGCCTTGCAACCAACCGTGTTGATCCTGTGGTGCATCCATGCAAGTTGCGAGAGGCACCCCAGCGATTGACGTGTGTGTGTGTGAAGGAGGAGTTATGTGTGTGGGTGCATGTGTATGTGTGTATGTGCGCATGTGTATGTGTATGTGGATGTATGTGGGTGCACGAAAATGCGTGATAGACAGAGAGACAGGGGAAGTGTGTGTACGAGAGAGAGTGTGTGTGTGGAGTGTGTGTATGAGTGTATGTGTTTGTGAGTGCGAGTGATAGAGAGTGTGTGAGACAGGCAGACAGAGCGAGAGAGTATGTGTTTGTGAGTGAGTGGACGCGCGTGCTTCCTTCTCCTTGCTTGCATGCAAGCACGTACAAACACAGGACGTGGGCGCATGCGCATGCACCAAGGTAAGGCACTCACACGGTGGCTGCATTCATCTCATGGAACACAGCGACGACTGCCAAAGCACGTAACACGCCATCCTTGCTCTTGAACATGGTTCCCGGTTTCAAGTCCGCATATGCCTGCTGGAGCATCTGCGAGATGCGCCGCTGGGTTGCTTGGTGTGCCGCCTCTGCAGTTCGCTGTATCGTCATGAGAACAGAGATCACTGCCCTGCAGAAGAGAGCATGCAAACGCACGCAGTTAGTATGGGCAGAGATTCCAATGTTGACAGTGCGGAGGAGGTGAGGCACGAGGACAGTGGCAGAGACAGGTGTGTGTGTGTGCACAAGGGCAGAGAGAGAGAAGAGAGAGACAGAGAGAAGAGACAGAGAGACAGAGAGAGACACACACACAGGCACACACACACACTCACACACTCACACACACACACCCACACTCACACACCAACAGCACTGACCTGCTGGCTCAACTCAAAAGTGTGCAGTTTGATGATGTTCAAAGTGGGTGTGGGGGTCAAGGGGATGAGCTCGAATGTGAGTGCGTTTAGTCAAACGGTGGTGGGCGGGAACCTTTTTCAACTGGTCCACAAAAACCATTTCATTGTTGACGAAAGTTAGAGGCGAAAGAAGTGTTTCCGTTTTGTGTGTGTGTGTTTTTTTTGTGTTAGATGCTTATTTGGACGTGTGGGTGTGGCACTTTGTGGGCGACTTTCCAGTTGTGGCAACTGACACCCACGCCCCCGCAACTCACTCAGTAACTTAGCACTCACATCAACAGAACAACACACGCAAAGCACGACACACACACTCTCTCTCACTCACTTGTTCATTTTCCAATCGACGCGACAGGAGGGAGAAAGGGAGAAGGAGAAGAGCGAGAAGAAGAAGAGGGAGGAGTAGGAGGTGCTTGTGTGCTTGTTGTCACAGGATATCCCCTTCTCAAACTCACACTCAACTGTCCCCCCTTGTGTTGGCCCCTGTCTCTCTTTTCTCTTGCAGGTCCAGCGATCATTCCTCCTTACATGTGCTCTAGTGCTCTTGTTTACTGAGTTTCTAGTGTTTACTTGTCTGCTCTGTGTGTGTGTGTGTGTGTGTGTGGCGCCTTTGGTGGCAGTCTTTGCAGTCAGCCTCGTGGCAGTCAGCCCTCTGGGCATCTGCCTCGTCGGCGGTCTTGCTTTGGTGTCACCGACCCTCGTCAAAGCAGAGCAATCTCTTTGGCGGTGGTCAGCAGGGTTCCCGACGTGGTAGCCTCAGGGTTGCTGCAGACACCGCTTGTCCAGCACATCCATGCAGCGCGCGTAAGCACTTGTGGCCTTCCCCTCCGTTTCGAGGGTTTGACGGCCCAAGGCTGCGTGCTGAACAAGTGGGCCGGCGGTGTGAGTACTTGTCTACTTGTGACACAGTGCAAGCACCGCTGCTGGGAACTTCTGTGGTGAGTCATGTCAACAATCGCAAATCATCGCTGGCTTGGCTGGCTGGCTTGCTTGCTTGCTTGCTTGCTGGCTTGCGTCCGCCGTTTTGCAACCGTGCCCACAAAATTTCGTGCACTCACAGTTGTTGCTTGCACGCCCGCGCTGACGATTTAACGCCGTCCTTTTGGGGCAGCCCTTTTGCTTGCCTGGTGCGGAAGCGACGGTGCTGTACTGGCTGGGAGGGGAAAGAAAGAGGAAGGGAAGGGAAATGAGAACCGGCGACAAGGAGGTGGTGCTCTTGTGTGTGTGTGTGTGTGTGTGTGTGTGTGTGTGTGTGTGTGTGTGTGTGTGTGTGTGTGTGTGTGTGTGTGTGTGTGTGTGCATGTGTGTGTGCATGTGTGTGTGCATGTGTCGGCGTGTGTGGTTCCATATTTTTGGCGTCGTGCTTGCCTGTGTGTGCTTGTGCCTTGGTTGGTTGTGGGTCATTTTCGCCCGACGGTGATGCGATCACGAGTTGTGACTGTTTGTAGTCATGTCGTGTGTTTTGTTTGTGTGTGAACAGCCAACATCGGGTGTGGTGGCCATAGATGGTGGTGATGGTGGATGATGGTGTTGCTGTTGCTGTTGGTAGTGGGTGTTGCTGACGGTGATGTGTCACACCTTTTTGGGGGAGGTGGGGGGTAAAATCAGCAAGCAAAGGGGCTTGCCTTGGGAACAAGAGGCAACCCCAAGTGTCATTCACTCCTCTCACCGCTGTCCTGTCCTCTCGCACCACGGTTTTTGTTGTTGTGCGTTGCTGTCCATCAGACGGTAGCATAGGTACGCGCCACACGTGACGTTTCGGCCCATCGATACAAGTGAGGCTGTTCCCGCGCACGCAGGTACAGGGGCGTCTCGGAGCATTGGCACACACGACGCAGAACAGACCCACCAAACACAGGCGCCATGAGCAATCCCGGACGATACTGGCGGAGGAGAAAGGCTGATCGAGATGAAGATCGCTCCTCGAGCGGCGAGCCATCTGGCAAGACATCACCAAGCACATCCCCACAGACGCTGCGAGCAAAGTTGAAGACTCCCGTAGACAGGAAGCGCCCAAACAGTCCGCGATCCAGTCCCCTTCTCCGCCGGCTCAGCACCTTCATCAAACAGAAGAGGTGCGTGTTTGTGGTTGTGGTTGTGGTTGTGGTTGTGGTTGTGTTTGTGGTTGTGTTTGTATGTGTGTGTGTGTGGTTGTGTTTGTATGTGTGTGTGTGTTTGTGCTTGTGCTTGTGCTTGTGCTTGTGGTTGTGTGTCTCTCTGTCCCTCTGTCTGTCCCTCTGTCCGTCTGTGTCTCTGTCTCCCTTTTCCATCTTTTTGCCTCCCTTTGTCTTTCGTGCACATTTCGTTGTCGTGTACGCAGCCATGTTGTTGTTGGTGCTGAAGAGCCACTGCCGTATCTAACCAAGCATGTGTGATGTGTCCTACTTGTGTACAGCTCCAGCAAATCCAAACTGTCTAGCAAAGCGAAGAAAAAGCTCATCAAGGTATGTGCATCTATGCATGACCGCGCCCTCATGTGTTTCTCCTGCACTCGGCAGGCTCTTTCTTTGTTTTGGGATTGTAATGCATCCCCCCCCCCACACACACACACACACGTTGTTTCGTACCCCCACATTGCTTCATCGCTCGTTCCCTCATTCGCACCTTCCTTCTTTCCACACCCCCACGTCTCCACGTTGACGCGCACTCCAACACCATCTGCACCCGCGCGCGTGCGTGTGTGTGTGTGTGTGTTGCAGCACGAGTTTGACCATCTTGAGCTGACGCAGCCGACGTGGTGCGACTTGTGCGACGACATCATCTGGGGACTTTTGCGGCCTTGCGTCCAGTGCAAACGTACGCATGCCATGCACACGCGGTGGAGCCGGGAAAGGGTCATGGGAAGGGAAGGGAGTGGGTAGAGAAGCTGTGGTTCAAGTGGAGGAACCTCCACTTTCAAACATACGCACAACAAACTACACAGATATATGTGAACAAGCATTCGCGCACACACACGCGCGCATACACACGTGTGTACATGCACACGCGCCCACGCATGCTAACACACGTGTGTACATGCACACGAGCCCACGCATGCTAACACACGTGCTCACACACACACACATATGCACATGCACATTGCGCTTGCTGCGGTTAACAGGGTGCATGTATACGTGTCATCTTGATTGTGCGGACCAAGTGGAGCTGGCGTGTGTGCAGCGGACGGTGCAAGGACCACGTGAGCCCCACGTGCACCCGCGCCAGACGCAGGAAGGCATCGATGCCGGTGCCCAGGGCTTGCTCGCGTACCTTACCGCTGAGGATGTGGCTGCGAAGGTGGACAAGTACAACTGCAACCGCACTAACAACTTTATCGAAATGCTGGTGCGTCCACCACGTGTGTGTGTGTGTGTGTGTGTCTGTGTGTGTGTGTGTGTGTGTGTGTGTCTGTGTGTGTGTGTGTGTGTGTGTGTGTGTGTGTGTGCTGCGAAATCACCACCCCCTTGGACTTGGATGCACCGCCTGCTCTCTCGCCATGGGTGCAATGCTCCACCACCCACCTTCTCTTACCTTTGGTGTTGACAGGACAACGAGCCCGGGTCCAAGAACTTCAAAGGTTACATCCGCGTGACGCTGAACTTGACCCGCCCCATCCGCGTGTCATCTGACGAGTCCATTGTCAACAACTCCCCAGAACAGAGCGAATGCCTGGCTGTGCCCGTCTCACCAGCAATCGCAGGCTCATCGGTTCGTTTGGCACAAGTGTGTCTGTCTGTGTGTGTGTGCATGCGTGTGCGCGTGTGTGTATGTGTCTATCTATCTGTCTGTCTGTGTCTGTCTGTCTGTCTGTCTGTCCTTGTGTGTGTGTGTGTGTGTGTGTGTGTGTGTGTGTGTGTGTTTCGCAGAATGTGCAAGTTGTTTCCCTCTTCTGCTTCTTCTTCTTCTTCTTCTTCCCAACACTCAACCCATCCTCGCATACACGTGCACGCGTGGACCACCATCATTGCCACCGCGGACAGCATCGGTTTTTCCGCAGCTCCGGGTCGGCGTCCAGCTCTGGCTCGCACGAGGGCGAGACGTTCTTCCTCCCCAAACACGTGTCAAAAGGCCTCTACGTCACCTCCGCAACCACAGCACAGGAGGTGCGAACGCAGCTGCACATGCAACTGCAAGCAGCGGCACACTCGTATTGTTGTTGCCCATTACCTGCTGCTCTGCTACCACACGCACACGGCACACTCACTCACTCACTCACTCACTCACTCACTCACTCACTCACTCACTCACTCTGACACGCACGTCCCTGTGTGGGACTGCCGCAGGTGATTGCCATCTTGCTGCGCAAGTTTCGGGTGACGAGCAACCCGAGGAAGTTTGCCCTCTTTGAACGCAACACCGCATCCGGAAGTGCGTTTGCTGCTGCTTGTTGTGTGTCTGTGCTCAGCAACACAGACCCAGACTTCTCTCTCCTTGTGTTTGCTCCACTCCCTTTGCTGGTTCCACTGCGTCCACTCACACTACTCCCCTCTCCTCCCCCGCCACTCACGCTACCTCACTCCCACTCCACTGACTCATACGCACACGCCGCACACGCCGCACACTTCAGGCGAGCGGAGGTTACGGCGCTTTGAGGAGCCACTTGCGCTGCAGCTGCTGTGGGGCGAGAAGAGCGAACACTTTGAGCTCTCCTTGAAGGTGCGGCACGCGGCTTGGCGGGGTTTCTTCTTCTTCTTATGGTGGTGGTGGTGGTGGTGGTGGCAGATCTTGTATGTGGTTGTGCTTTGTCTGTAACTGTGCATGCATTCGCACACCCCCCCCCCTCTCTCTCTCTCTCTCTCTAACGCCACGATGGCACGCGCGCGCTGGTTGCGTTCCCTTCACACCACACCCCCATGATCCACCACCACCACAGGAGTACAACCAGGAGTATGAGTTTCACTGGGAGGAGTTTTCGCTGGCGGAGCTGGAGAACTTCTGCACCATCCTCGATCGGGAAGAGCAAGCGGCCTGTGAACAGGTCAGAACCGTCACATTGCGTGTGTATGTGTGTGGGAGGGTGTCTCTGTCTCTCTCTCTCTCTCTCTCTCTCTCTCTCTCTCTC